AGTTCGTCGACGACTAGCAGATCGGCGGGATCCTGTAGGTGGAAGTCCGGTGGCGGTGAATGATATAGTCTATCGCCGGAATTACGGGGTCGATAAATTAACCGATCTGTATACAGGGCCATATCGAGTGGAGGCGGTGAGAGGTTCGACTATTGAGCTAGTACGGCTCGCGGATGGGTCGGTAACTACGGCGGCAGTTAATCAGCTGAAGCGAAGCTGCCGTCGGGAGAAGATTGATGAGGTTGGTGAGGAGCCTAGACAGTCCACCACGGCAGTGCAGACAGAGCCGAAGCAGACGGGAGATTGGGGATCCGTAAAGATTGACAGGAAGGATCTACGCCGTTGGAGGGATACTGTGAAGGCGATGTCGAAGTCAGGTCCGGGTATGTTGACCCGGGGAAAGAAGAGAGTGCTGGAGCAGATTGAGGAGGTTAGTAAAGCTCCTCGTAAGCAGCTTTAGGGGGAGTGTGCTGGACCGGGCCTGGGTGCGTGAATATGAGTTTGCGTTCATGAAGATGAGTTTGCGTGCAAGGCTCCATCCAGCTGCGTCACCCCGTGTTATCAAGAGTCTGATCGATCGAGTATAACTGTGCTATAGTTCTATCATTATCTGAGTTATCTCAGTTCTTCTTCTTTGTTTATTTATCTTCGTTCGGTTCGGTTAGAAGATCGGTTCTATCGACCTTCGGCTTAACTGTCTTGACTTACCTCCGTCTTATATTTGTGGTATCGATCGACAGTAACTAAATACCCTACAACTGGCTAGGGCCACTACCGTATCACTAAGTTAGCTGGTATACTACGAGAGCTGGAGTCGAGTTGGCTTATCTAGTTATAGCAGTGAGATATCGATTTTGGTACAGCACCGGCGACATCATTGGAGGATATAAATTTGCATGAGCATGCAATAGTAGGTCCCCGAACAAATCCCGAGTCAATTTGAATACGAACAGGGCATCATACCGGTGAAGTGAATTCCTCTCTGTAGATCGCGGGTACCATAATTTGTTCGGATCGCAGTCCAATGGGAGAAGTTTTCAGAGAGGTTCCGCCTGCCGGTACCTCAAGCCTCTGTGATGGTCGGAAAGCCGCAGCTATGGTGACCGTAAATGAAGAGGTGAGCACCGAGAGATCGAATGATATTATGCATAAGGATTTCGTACTTCAACTACTACTATTCGAGCCGAGCGATATTGCATTCAGGTGAGCAATATGTTACAACTACCACTGCGGCCTATACCTACTATAGGCCAAGTAGCTATCGATGCTCTCCTTACCCCACTGTGACAACAACAACAAGAGCAGGAGAACTCGCTGCATGCATTAATATTATTAATTTAATAATGTGATCATAATCACCACTTCATATCGACAGCTATTGGGCCCATGTTCTTCACGTCATTTACACCATCAATGACCTTCACGCCTTGCTTGTCCTCATCAAGAACCTGAGCCACGCCCCCAGTAGCAGCATCGACAACTCCTGCATTTCGGCGTACAACTAGACATGGTATTCCAGATTTGTGATTGTTGATGATGCCAAGGTTCTCCTTTTCTATCCCCGCGCACACTCCAAACTCCTTCTTCAGAGCGTCTCTGGTCTCAACGTCCCCATACGGCACTCTCAGCCACTCGCCGTGATCCTGCTTGTGGTACTCAACCTATCACAGTGCGCAGTATGAAGAAAAACCGCAGCGAAGATTTTAAAGCCGACCTGCTCCTCCTCTGACTTGTCGCTGGATACAAAGATGATCTCCAACTTGTCCTCATCCTCTTCCTTCACATCCTGGAATGACATACATCTATGCCGACCTAAAAGCAACAAGCACTGACTTCATAGAACTCCTTGAGGATAGGAGTGAACTTGCGGCAAGGGGGGCACCAGTGTGCCGAAAAGTATCTGAGCCCCCTCCATTGAAAACTGTAGTGATAGTAAGTACCGCATACAGAGCAATTTTGTCCTTCTGGGAAAGTACATCGTCAGCTTTCACTTCGGTACCGTCTTGAGTGAGCAGAGTCTTTCCAGCTAATGCGGACATGGAGGGCGAACCAACAACGAGAAGGAGCACTCGACGTTCCCATCTGTGTCACCATAGCTGAGATGTATCACCACCACTCAACTCATGATAGGCTTGATGGTAAGCGTGCAGTAACAGACGTCATTACAACCCCTTTGTGTTGCGAACGTTACATCCGTGGAAAATGCCTATCTATGATTTCTCCCCCACCCTGCGATGGTAGATATAATCAGTCGGAATTCACCTTAACTCGACCTCGCTAGATAAGTAAACAACAACGTGTACATTTTAGTAACACATCAATGCTAATGGACATGCATGCAAAGGCGTCTTTAAGGCTCATCGTCCTTACATCGGCAATGAATGCTCCTCCTACCTCTGGAATAAGGCGACAACACCATCTGAAAGGACAGCTCCAACGTCGATGATCAACAATCATATTCAATACGACTACGCCATTCGGTTAGCTCTCCTCACGATCATGTTCCGAAAATCGGGAATCTCAAAATCCTTATGTTTAAACTCCGTGGCATAGGGGACAGAAATTTGGGGTTCCAGTTCCGAAGGATACATCACTAACAATATACAACGTCTTAGACTTTTCCACGAAGTTTGCAAACCCCATTCATCATGAATCCCAGATCACACATGAAATGACAAGCACGTCCCCCCCTATTCATGTTGTAGCCTCACTTGCTGTTGCGTCGTGAGGCGGTTTGGCAGCAATACACTATCGTCCGGCTCGGGAGCTCTGTTAGTCCAGAGTGGCCTCGGCTGGGACTGTACAGCACGCTTCGTGACAGGATTTGCAGTACGGCCTTTCTTCTTCGGCCGATCAGGCATCATGTGGTGACACGTTGGTGACAGGGTCGGTGACGGGCCCACCACTGCCGGAGACGGTTTGGGAGAGGACCGAGCTACTTTCTGAACAGATGCACAATACGAGAGATGCACAATACGCCACCAAAACCCACCTTGGCTGGAGCTACCAATCTGATCGGTCTTTCAAGACTTGGTTTCTCAAGAGCTCGACTGGTAGCCGGGCGTTCGGGAAGGCGAAGAGATTGGTCCTTATCTAGTTCATCGCCACGCAGACGGGCCAGCTCTTGTCTGAGATGTGCATTGAGGCGAACAGTGTATAGCATGGTGATGAGAAAACTGACCAACCTGATCTGTCGCCGTAAGTTGTCCAAATCGACGGACATCCCTTCAAAAAGCCGTAGCGTTGCCTGATTCAGCAGTAGTAGTACTCACAATGAGTACGTACCCTGATGAGTGCTCACCCTGCGACACTCGGGGGACATAGTCTTCAAATCAGCATAATCCCGCATCCGCTTCGAACAGAGCCTATCTACACATCGTTCTATTGCACTCGATGCCTTCACAACCGAGCCGACTGATCCAGAATCTGGTCCCACCTGGAAGACTACCACGTACAGAACATTGCCCCATGACTGAGCTATTCTACTTGCTTAGACCCTGCCTCTAGTGAATCGGGTGATATCAGACGCACAGGAGTCTGCACCAGTGAAGGCTCCCGATGTTCGCCATCAACAGGATGGGCTCGGGATCTTCCAGGTGGTGATGAAGGTCGACTCCGTTCCGCTAACAATCTTCTGTTACAGAGCTTGAAGGGTTTAGCTATCCCGCGCCCACCCATCTTCGTATCACGGGCTCTGTATTCCACACTATAAAGGCAGTCAACGATGACAGTACTCACTCGGCCGACTTCCCTAGACTCGATCGGATCCTCTCTACTCTATCCTCCACACGCTTCAGTCTAGCGCAAAGCTCTGCATTATGAACATCCTGAACAACAGTCAATGGAGCTCTACCCAATAACCAGTAGTCGCTCACAGCTTCCTGCGCAGGATCAGTCGACATCTCCGCTTTTTCAGTTATTCTGATACGAATGTCGGTGAGTGATGGTATAGTAGTAACAGAGGCAGTCTTCACGTGCTGCTCAGGTAGCCTGAGGTGACCAAGTTGGCCTCTGTTCGACTCAGTAGCATATATAGCCTACATGAATCTACCTTCTCCAGCCTTGCCGGGGCTCGACTGTGATGCTCGGGCCGACTGAGATCGTCGGAGGGATTTCGGCTCAGTTTCCTGCCACATACGGGCACTATCACTGATGCTGTATCAACTCTATGAAATCGCGACACTTCAAAAGGTACGTTTGCGGTACTGCACAGAAAGGAGCCCCACGCTCTCCGCTTACTTCAGAAAGATCCTCCCTCGAATTCAGTCTGGAAGCGGACGAGCAAGCGCTACTGGCTACTTCCCGTTCATTCTTGTTGAACTTCCCCTCCATTGAAGATTGAACTGACAGTATCAGCATTAATACACTATCAAGTGGGTCCACCACACTCCGATAGCCCGATACCTCTAGACGAATGATTGACGAGAATCCAAGTCCCGAACGAGCCAAGAGAAACACTATTAAACATCTTATCAACTGTGGGCGGCTGAGGACTGCAACGCCGATGGACAAAAAATACCATAAACTATAAGGCCAGAGCAGTAGCAGCAGAGAAAGAGCCCTCGCCGCTTGCCATGTGCTAATCGCATCAAGGCATCACCGCGTAGGCGAGAACGACCGGAACTGGATCTCCGTGAGATGCCAAGTTCAAGTTGTCGGTGAGCACAGTTGATCAAAATAATTTGGTACCGCGGAGCGTCGCCGGACCAACGGTTCCCTGTTGGGTCAGAAAAACGGTGAGGCGCTCTTTGGAGGAGATGAGCTGATCTGTATAGGCTGCATCAAGGAGAGACGGCTCCGTGGACAGCAGCTCATCTCAGAAATGATAGGCTAATAAGGTGGAACAAGCAGTAAGTATGGCTACAGGACACTATCATAGGAACGACCCAGGTTCGAATCCTGGGACAGCTATTTATAGACTCTTCAGAGCTCACCTTAATCAAAAGGAGGCTCCTCAAAATCAATAAAACGGTAGCGAAATGGGAACCTGGGAAATACACGAACAATGTTCGAGAAGAGAACCGGTAGCATGTGAGAGCGAGAACGCTACTTACATTATCACTAAAAACTTGGATGGCTTGTGGGAGCACATGCCCACTAATATCGATAAGTAACTACCCGACTCGTTAGCCTGTTCGAGGAATGATTCTACCCCTACTAATACCACACCTCAGCTTACTTGATGCCACAGAAGAGCCGTCGGATTCCTCATGGCTTTGGAGGAAGTCCAAACGAAGGCTCTTGTGACCAGTTGGGGTTCCATAGGTGACCTCCTCGGTCCTCACCTTTCTCCGATTGCCAAATCTGAGGGATAATTTCTACTGACAGGTTGGACTGATCAAGGGACTCACTCAGGCTGATCCTCGGGATGTGTGGCAAGAGTGTTACAAGCTTCATCATAATCGGGAGCGATAGGAACACGAATCTGAAAAGATTCACAAGTGCCCCTCGCGCGGCGAACGGATGGGGAAGGGAGGCTACCAAGCGTCTCAAATTGGAGGATGAGTAAATGTGACTGTTCTTGGGCATCTCACGAAAGCGCTCTCTGAGATGCTGAGGACTCGCTGGAGAGGAAGACTTACGAACAGCCCAGTATGACGACATATTAAAGTTAACTGGCTGGAAAAAGCAATTGACCAACCCATAGGCCAACACGAGATAGTTAATAGGGAAAGCACAAGTATAGTTGGAAACCAATAGTACACTTATTGTTATGCATTCAAATCATTACCTCTATTACTCCTCATCAATGTCACTCATATCCTTCGTCAGTTCATCGGCAACCGCCCAGGAGTCTTCAACACACTGCACTACCTTGAGATTATACCTGCGTGCAGTAGGACTACTAGGCTAGAGAATGGAAGGCGATATGATATTACTCTCTCCGGTTCTCGCTCCATAATCTAGCTGCTTCGCTATTAGCTGGACTGTTAGGATTGGGATCACATAGCAATGACTGTATAGACGTTAGAATGGCGGCTATGTCGTATATAGGAGACCACTGATAAACACAAAGTCCTCTCTCGACTAGCGTATCTTTCTCTCAGCGATGAAGATTCATACCTGGTTCTGGAGTATGTCGAGACATATCTCGCCATTAGTGTAGATATTGGGATGGAACATGGGGTTGAGAAACCGCACTCGAGGAGGTTTGGTCGGGAATTCCTCACTAAACGTGACTTCGAGTTGGAAGGTACCTTCGAGTGTGATACGGTGTCCCCAACCATTGCGCTCTTTCGTCCTACCTCCCTCCCATGGCGTATCTTCTGGCCCGAACATGACCGCAGTCCACCTCATGATATCATCCGTGGCTGGAGCCGCACTAACGCCGCTAGGTGGGTCCTGTTGAAGCTTCTTGAGATCTCGAATCAGTCGCCGACGCGCGACGGTTGACATACTTTAGGAAGAACTATTATAGACGAATTGTCGTACACAACGAAGAATATATATGCCGCACTTGTCAACATTCAGGAGAATGAACCGACCGTAGAGATAACAAGTTACCCGTATACAGTGCACGGTCTCAGTACCGGGGTGAATAAAATTCGCTCCCACAAAAACGTGGAATCGGAGACACTTCGCTCCGTCGAATACACCCGCGCTCGCCCGAGCTCTCCCAAGTTGTAGACGGGGAGGCGAATTGTGGCTGCTCATAATTGCTCCTTGCAACCTCTTGAGCCCTCCTATAGTGGATGCTATTGTTTGATGTGCACGAATACTCATGCACCTTTCTCGAGGCTGCGTATCGACTTGGCGGATTCTCAGTTGGCTCCCTGTAAATTTCAGTAGTATGCGTATCGAGAAGTGCTGGTACTGCAGTAGTAATATCTATCCTGGTCATGGTGTGATGTTCGTACGGAATGACGGCAAGGTACTCGTGATAGGCAGCAGCGACAGAGTGCTCCAGTCGCCTTCTATTCAGATCTTCCGTTTCTGCCGATCGAAGTGCCATCGTCACTTCAAGCGGAAGCACAACCCTCGCAAGGCTGCCTGGACCAAGGCATACAGGTAAAGCGATCAGTCACCGTGGGTCGGTAGAGATATGTTTCCTAGGGCTGCCCATGGTAAGGAGATGACTACTGACTCTACTTTCGACTTCGAGAAGAAGAGGAACACTCCTGTAGGATAAATGACTACACGTTGGGTTATGTTTCCATATCTAGGTGAAATACGATCGCGACTTGTGGGTGAAGACAGTCCGAGCGATGAAGATCGTCGATCGCATCAGAACGGTAGCAATAGTAGGTGATATGCTAGATTAACGTTGGTATTAGGTACGCAAGGAGAGGTTCCAGAAGAACAGGTTGGCTGCACAGAGGAAGGTCCGCATCCACCTCGCCGAAAAGGAGATCGCGAAGCAGGGTAGTCAGGCGGGAGCTAGGTTTAGGACTGAACACGTATTTATGACTAGGCGAGCTGCTCAAGAAGCCGATTACCAAGCTGGATCAGATGAAGCGTCGGGAGGAGCTCAAACGCAAGGAAGGAGCTCTGCCGGCTCAAGCAGAGAAGGTCCAGAGAATGGATGTCGATGGTGGTACCGACTCGGACTAGATGTGGAGAGAGACCGCATTCGCTGCGTATACGTCACTACTTACAATACAACTAGCTTAACGTCACATTACTACTGGAAGGTTTCTCCTGGCGATCGCATGATTAGTGGTTGAGTTTGCCTATTGAAGGGGTCGCAGTTGGAGTTGTGTAGTTGGTACAGCTTCAAGCCGATGCCGACCAAGAAGACGGCCAACAAGCTGTCGAGCCGAGACCGACAACGGCCCTCTGATGGTTCAGGCTTCAATCAGTTCGACATGCGGGCCAACAAGACGGCTCGAAAGCCCGTATTGGGAATGGTAATATTGGTTGGTTTAAAGAGTGTCGGACGGTGTTGGGATTGCGATGTCGTGGAAGTCTTCTCTGTTTACAGGCGCAGCAACATGGGTCGCGTCGAAATATGTCGGAGAGTAAGTCCTACGCTAAGACATCCCGTAAGGACTCGTTGCTGAAGGAATTCCGAGCCCTTGGCAAGACTGGTTCCTTCAAGGACAGGTAATTTCGTCTAGGGCCTCCTCATGGCGATTTAACTATGATATTATCTGCTCGCAATTATGTGGCTTACCACTGTACTATGCATCAACCTTTTGACGGAATGGGGCCGCTATGCCAACGGACAACAGGTTCATATGCGCGACTAGGAATATGTGTTAGTGAAACACAGGCGCCTGACTCGATTATAGTGGCGCCACTTGGGCAGAGAGGCCCTGTGTTGGCATAGTTGTCCCAATTGGGCATCACGGCCCCGCACAGACATAGTGGCCTTATTCTGGCTTAGCGGCCCCATCCGAACATAGTGGCCCCATTCTGGAATAGCGGCCCCACTCGGACATAGTGGCCCCATTGTGGCATAGCGACCCCACTCGAACATAGTGGCCCCATTGTGGCATAGCGACCCCACTCGGATATAGTGGCCCCATTGTGGCATAGCGACCCCACTCGGATATAGTGGCCTCATTTTGGCATAGCGACCCCATTCGGACATAGTGGTCGTGTTTGCTTTCATGAATGACTCAGTGACAGCTACGACTTCTTCCAATCAATCACAGCATGTTGATTGTGATGATGAATGTGTGGTTTGACAGGCGATTAGACGCGAAGGCCCAAGGCATGTCGGCGGACGAGTTGGCGTCAGCACGCTTCCGGAAGGAGCGAATCCGGCAACAGGAGAAGAGCAAGAAGAAGCGTAATGCAGCATTTGGGTTGGAAGATGAGGAGGAAGGAGAGGGTTCAGCTGAGGGTGTTGAGGTATGTCGAGGGATGCACTTAGGATCGGTTGGTTACATTGAATGTGGTAGCATAACCTGCTGACACACGGTGGAAAACCAGTGAAGACCATGACGGCTGATGAGCTGCGCGGGGATCCACTCAGCGACTCGGATGACGATGAGGAGCTCAAGAAGGAGATAGAGGCTGAGGTGGGATGTAGGCATCTGAATGTAGTAGCAGATTGCATGATCAGCTGATGAAGACCACTGAACACGGCAAGCATGCTAACAAGCAGGACCTCTACCAGGAGATCATGGCTAAGGCTAAGGCATACAAGGCGGACAGACAGAGGGAGAAGATGAAGCATGTAGTACTCCGGATAAACCCTTTGAAGAAGGCGTATTGCCCGAGATAAGGTTTATCTTGTAATTTCAGGAAGAAGAGCTCAATGCTTTAGATGCTCACTACAAGGGAATCTTACCCTCCCTGAAGTTCAGACCCAACAAGTACAGTATTGAGGTGAGGGAGGTTAAGCGCACAAAGACGGTTACTAACAGTGTTTGCATCATAGGGTATAAAGGCGGCCAACGCTCTGTCATCTGAGGGGCCGGATGAGTTCGATATGATCAGCAAGCAGTTGATGATGGAGGGTGGCCATTCGGCCAAGGCTGCTGATAGGTGAGTCTAGTCGTTCCTGTACTCTGACTAAGAATCAACCAACACTTCCGATGAGTAGCTGTCTCGACTGCTGGTAGCGAAGCGGAGGAGGAATTTTTGTACTGGGAAATGTTCTGGCACGAGCGTTTAGTCTGAAAAGCAAGCGGTGTAGTTTCTGATGAGGAAGCTTTGGCATTGACATCTGACGGGCATTGTCTCCGTTGTCTTTGCTTATATCTTGTATCGTATTCTGTATCGCGTTGCTGGCGAAACTCGGTCGCATTGCTGCATGCTCAATAGCAGATGCCGATAATTCCTCCTCAGGTTGATGAGCTCAGAAGAGGTGGCCCTGGAGAATGCTAAACGACTCGAGAAATTGGAGGAGCAAAGAAAGAATAGAATGCTGAACGATGAGCCTAGCGTAGAAGAATCGCTAGAGGAAGAAGAAGATGTGGGTGAGGGAGAGGAGGAGGAAGGTGAAGAAGAAGAAGAAGATGAGGATGCTGCCTTCGATGAGGAGGGGGGAGAAAGAGACGAGGTAAGTTACCGCTCGACGTGATTGGACAAAAATAGAGAAGATAGAATGTGGCTCGTTATTTCGCTGAGCACAGGTGCCTGAAGAAGCTGTGGAAGAGGCCGCTGGAGTAGAATCCGAAGATGATGAGGAAGAGGAGGAGGTACTGGTGGAGTGGTATGACGTATTTAGTCGGCATTGTTGAACTGGCAGGATATTGAGGATACAGGGAAGAAAGACGGTGGCGCTGTTGCTGCTGATGACAACGAGAGGCTAGCCATGCTAGCGGTCGATGAGAGCGACTCTGATATCGATGATGAGGATGCTCAGGCTGTGGACGAGTACACTACTGCCGAAGAGAGGGGTAGTGATAGTAGTAGTAGTAGTAGTAGTAGTAGTAGTAGTAGTAGTAGTAGTAGTAGTAGTAGTAGTAGTAGTAGTAGTAGTGGTAGTAGTGGTAGTAGTAGTAGTAGTAGTAGTAGTAACACTATAGTTCAATTCGGAGTATTCGATCACAACACATCTGGATGTCAGTTGCTGAAGAGGGTACATCAGTCCAATACCCTACTGAGCTCCCTGTTGGCTTCGACGCCTTCACTAACACTGCATCGGAGGACAAGGCGGGTCTACCATTCTCCGTGTCGTGTCCGCAAGATGGTGATGCTATGGAGAAGTTGCTTACTACTTTCGACCCACTGAGTGAGTTGAATTAATGCTGATGCTTACCACTTCTATAATGGATGTACCATGGTCAGGTCGAGCCAAGTTGGTCTTCAGTCTCATCGCCTGCCACAACACCCCAGATGAGCGCTTTGAGCCTCGCCAGCTGCGGGTAGTAGTGCTGGTCGGGGCTGGGGTCTACGAGGGTTAGTACGATTATTAGGTGCTCTTGAGCTCCCTCTTCTCTTATCTCGCTGATCATGAAATAAGGATGTTGCCTCTTATTCGAGCCCCCTTGATCGACCTTGCTAGGCTTATGCCAGACTGCGCTACTGAGTAACACTCATTCCTGGTCTCACATTTCATCACACCCATCACTAGTTACTTCACTATGAACTTGATCGGGGCCTACGCCAACTCTAGACGCCCTGACGCTAGGGCCATCAATATGTTGCATATTGTTGCTACTGTATTCCAGACAACTGATATAAGGTAGTACGAATGAGATTTGCCCATGTTCTTGGTGGTGGAAATGTCCTTCTATCTAGGCACAGAGTGGTACAGCCTGCACTGATGTTATTGGAGCAATGGGCGTGCTGTACTCAAGACATGAGGCTGCTCGCTCTACTGTAGGGGAGAGTGGTCGGTCGGCTGTCGCTGACGTAGTGTGGGGTAGGTACGAATTCCTCCAGCCGGCGAAGCGATATAGTCCAGCTTTCTTCCAGCTTGCAGGACGCCTCATGCGCTGTGGCACCGAGGTGAGTTCGAATGAGCTTTCTCCTACCGTTTGGCTGAGAGGAAATGAGGAGTTCCTCTTGTGTATTTGCCATGAATGGATGGGTGGTGGTCTCAGACTGAGCAAGAAACGGCGAAGTTGCTGACGCGACGAGTGTGCATGCAGGCTGGCCCGGAGGAGAAGGCAGGTCTTCAGATTGTTATTCAGAAGTGCCTCTAGTCGGTAACTCGCCAGGACCTTCATCGTTCTCTTTCTAGATACTGCCCATCTCTGTCGCGATTGGTGTTGGGTCCGCATGCAAGGCTCCGTCTGCATGCCTTCCGCCCTATAGCCGTACCCAGCTTGGAACCAGTTTTCTACGACCCAGACTCGGCACAGAGTCACATCAAGGGTAAGTAGTCTTCCTATGTGGAGGTCTGTTATGGGTGTGATCAGGCAAGGACCCTATCCTGTATGAGACGCAGAAGATGAAGAGACAGTATAAACAGGAGCGTAGAGGAGCCAAACGGCAGTTGACGAAGGACGCATCCTTCTTACGACATGTGGGTGTTGCCTCGCTGTGAGGGCTCTATTGGGAGTATGGCAGGTTCGGGCGAATGATATGCAAGCTAAGGAGACGGCCATCCAGCATGATAAGAAGCGTATTCGAGCGGCTCTTGATGAGAGCACTAATAACTACAAGGTCATGCGTACTGAGAATGCGAGGATGGACACCAAACTGGTAGGAGCGCGAGAGCTGAGTCGTTGAGAAATCTGTTTGCCATTTGTTGAGCGCCTTTGTTCGGTTACAGAGAGTTTCTCCGCTATATTATTCACTGATGAGCGTACTGGCTTCCTTGTTCAGCATGGAAGCTATAGGAAGAATAAGGCTAAGAAGAAGGCGAATCCCAGAATGGCTGGCAATCAGATGGCACAGAAGTCGACTGACTGATACTCCCACCACGATCATAGTGGATCACGTTAATACTACTACTGGCTATTACACGTTTATGTTTCTTGCACTCTTGCTAACTCTTACCACTATGCCAGGCTTCTTATCAACGACTGGTTATGTTGTCAATCCAACGGTCTGATCTCCGGCTACGTGGGTCGCGGCGCTCGTAAAAACTGCGAAATATTAGCCGGAGGCTCGTAGAGTTTACTTCGCGCTGCTTGCTTGGGATATAAACTTGGCACCCAGCATGACGTGCCTCAGTTTAATGTTTGGGCTTCCTAGTCTGAGTAGCCATGGCGTCCTCTTCTGCGGATAGCCCTGAGGTTATCGAGCTGGACGACTTGGCCAGCATTGGGGCCTTTGGGGAGAAGGGCGAGTCTGTCATTGAATACCCACGGGTCTCTTCGTCATCTACCAGGCGAGGGAGTGGCGCTGCTACCTCTGGTCCTGGTCTAAGGAGGTCCCAACCTGACTTGATTGACGTTCATCAGACTCCTCCTCCTCCTCCAGAGAGGGATAACCAACAAGGTGGGGGATTCACGGATCTGCTAACTAGGAACTGGCAGTCGGCGACTGGCTGGGTATGGCAATCACCTACGGTGAATACGACCGAGACTGGAGGGAGGCTTATAGATGGTGGTGGTGCTGAGCGCTCTATTATGGATATGGAGCCACCGTCTTCTGTGGGTGAACAGTCTAGCTCTCATCACGGTCTAGACATTGGAGCAACATCGCATTCATTGGGCCCTCCTGTCGTAGTGGATCGGAAGCGACGGGTATCCACCGCAAGCTCGCGCCAGGAGGCTGGCCGCGTCTTGAGGGACGACTTCTTGGCGAGCGTAGAAGTGGTGCCTCCCACGCTGATTGACGTGGGAGAAGCTGCACCAGCGAAGGAAGTCGCTGAGAATCGCGAAGGGATAATGGGAGGTATCATGGACTGGTGGGCTCGCGAGGAGAAGGATAAACCCACCTCCGATGACCACGATAATGACTCCCAGTCAAAGTTGAATGCAGAGAAGGTCGCTGCTGAGGAGGAGGATGTGGATCCGCCCGAGACACACAACACGGCGTCCGAAGTCCCCCTTAATCGGTTTGTTCCTAGGCCAGTGATTGGCAAGAGCGCGTTGGGTATCCTTGAGGGCTACTCGGACTCCGAGGTCTATTCACTGTCTAGTACAAGCAGTAGTGATCCGGTAGAGTTGCCCAAGTTTATGGGCAGGGGAACAAGACCAAGTGTAGTGGAGGAAACAATAGGACAGACAGGGGGTCATAGTATTGACCTACTGGGCTTGCAAGATGCCCCATTGCCGAGGGGCTGGCTGGCCGATGTCCACTCAGGATTCCGAATAGATGCTCTGGCACACGCCATGAACAGTTCAAATCTACCAAGGGCGACGGTGGCCGAGATGTCACGAGAGGTGAGTACCAAACGTCTGCGACTTCGCGTTGTCGGTGAGCCTATCATTCGATTCATTCAGATCCTTGCGCATGCGTACGGCTTGCCACCGAGAGTTCCTATGCCCACCATGACGTATTCAGAACATCGAAAGGTGCCTTCAGCTATAAGGCCATCCACACCATTAGAGCCTGCAACACGGACGGTTCAAGAAGCGGACCGAGTTCAGAAGCGTGGCAGCAGGTCTCCTCTGCCAAGTAGGCCTGGTTTCACTTCATGTTACGTTCATGTTCGTCCTTACACTTCATCTTGTGTGTGTTATAGGTTCCACGACTTTCGTTTCTATAAGAGGAGCACCGAGGACCTATATATCAGCGAACAGCTCGCAGGAAGGTGCGGATCTCGCAGCTGCAAGAAGAGTTCACTCTCTAGTGCACCATAAAGATAGGCCAAAGCCATCCTGGAACTCTGGCGTGCCGACGAGACTTGAGACCATCATTGACGAGTGCAAGACGTTATTCAAGCATAACCGCGAGCGGCCAGTGACGCTAGTTGAAGAACCTGCGAACATGTCTGAGGTTGGGAACGGTGCCCTTGAGGACTCGCCCGAGGCTAAGGTTGAAACGAAGGACCCGCCTACTATCCTCAGCGCACCGCCTATGCGACGAGTGTATTGTGAGGTTGATCAGAAGACTGTGGCCGAGCTGAGATCTCCATTGGGACAGTTCCATAGTGACCTACTGCAGGAAGCACTCCGGGCAAAGGCGGTCTGCGAGAAAGCAGAAAGAGCGTATCCTGTCGATAGCAGGGTGCTAGCGGACTTGGCTCGAGCAGCCCGGAGGCGCTTTCATTTGTCTCGAACGATGGCCAGTATACTAGAGAAGAGCGAAATCGCCAGGCGTAATGAGGCCACAGGGAAGACGACTATCGACCCAAAGCCTGTTGTAGAACGGCATGCCCCTGTGTATCGTCTGCCTTCCGTCAGCACACCATCACAACTTATAATTGAGGGAGTGCAACCACCAGAACCACGACTGTTGAGAATAGAAGGAACACTACGTAGACAGAGTCTCGACCACTTGCCCAAGCCTGATTATCAAGAGCATGCTCGAAAGGAATCGTCACCTTGTCGCACTCCATCTGTCCAATCAAGCAGTGTGCTTGGTGATAGCATTAGCTCACGGCGTGGTATGGACGGGGCTAAGTGCTCGAAATGTGATTCGCAAATTGACATGACGGGTAGACGATTATCCAGATCTGTGAAAGAACAGATGAGCAGGTGGAAATGGTGCGAGGGATGCACTTTCGAGATGTTCCCATCGATCTCGGCAGCGCCGAAGCGGTCGAGTTTCGTCAGTCAGAGGGTATACCTCGGCACGAACGCAGAAGAGTGGCTATGGGAGTTGACATTAGAATCAAATTTGCCCATCGAGTACCCGGAAGGAAGTCGGGTTTTATGGCCGACTGGAAGGCACCTTGTTGTTGCATTATTGTTGAAGGATGCCGATGCGAAAAGAACGGTTCGAAAGGCGCCTACAGTAGAAGACGTAGATGCTATTTTCCGATACAGAAAGGGAGACTTGAGAGAAGACTATATGGGCCTACGCGAAGGAGCGGTCCAGCTTGTGGTAGATCTCAGGTTAAAGCAACACGCTCTGCTCAAAGTCGTTCTGAAATCAATACCAATCTTCGTTGTTGAGCTGAAGACGCGAGACAACGATGAACTACTGGGTGGGAGAGTTGCGGAAGTATTGAACGAGGCCCGCAAGAGTATAACGGGAGGCGGTATGACCGCCACTTCTCAATGATGTTCATTAGTGACCATTAGATATATACTTGACAACAAACCTTACCAGAAATTGCCTCTAGATTTGTGTTGTAGTAGGCTACAAATAAGAAAATGGCTACTCAATGCACCTGGAGGGGTGACTTCCATGTATAAGACCTTCAAGCTATAATACGATGTTCCGTGCGACTACAAATTGTGCCGCGTAATTGTGACGGAGATGTTCATAGCTAGATGTTCACTACGCATCGAACGAAACAGCTTCAAGTTAAGATCCTTGCTAGTTACCAGTTGTTGGATTGTTCGTCGTACATCGCGGTCTTCGTGTCACAGTCCGGCTCAGCATGCAAGAGAACATGACCCACTAGATTCGGTTCATACCATCGAGTCGAGATATCATCTTTCCAGAACTCCCGGAACCTTTCTGACACCTTACATGTCTTTGCTAATTGATGAGCTCATTTGGTCCTAGTTTTAAACTAAATGTTTGCTCCATCCCAACGGTTGAAGTCTGTAGAAATTGTTGGAGGATTTGTTCAACGAATTGTGTTGCCCGTAGAAGTGGCGGAAGACAACTGGCTAAGGACAGCACGGACGGGCATCAACCGAGTCGGATTGATTCGATTCTCTTCATGTTGAAGATATTCATTGTGCTAGAGTCGAGGATCTAGGCTAGCCAGATTCATCCCTCGGGACTGCTCGGCTAAGCAACGCTGTGGAAGCTGTGGAAATTGATGAATACGATGATGTTTTACGCACGGGGTGAGATAGGTTCGAGGTACGATTCCCGGTGGTGGCTTTTCTAATGTAATTTATCTTTCGACCTTCGCTCCGCTGTGAAATTGGAATTTAGCTGTGAGTGCTCTTTCAAAACTGGATCGCAGTTTTTACAAACCTTCCAGAACAATGGTTTCTACCACGCTTCCCAGCGACATTTCCGATCGTTTGACGGAAGCCGTTGGTAAATTCGAGATCTCTAAGGATGTGATGATTAAGGTTAAGGACGACTTCCTGGACGAGATGAAGCTCGGTTGGGAGGCCGGTCAGGGTGCTGGTGCCCCTCCTGAGGCATCTAGCGTCAAGATGCTTACCTCTCACATTAATGTGCTCCCTCGTGGTCATGAGGCTGGCATCTACTACGCCCTTGATCTTGGTGGAACCAATCTACGAGTTCTCCGTGTTGTGCTTAGCAGTGAGAAGCAACCTGAGATTGCCGAGAACAGGAAGCCCATCCCTCATGATGTTATGGGTGGCACTGCTGAGGATCTCTTTGGCTTCATCGCTGCCACCGCCAAGGAGCTTACTGACAAATTCCATGATGATGATCTTATGCCTGCTGGTTTCACTTTTTCTTTCCCCATGAGCCAGTCTGCTATCAACCATGGCAAGGTGATCGAGTGGACTAAGGGTTTCTCCGCTACTGGTGTTGTTGGAGAGGACCCTGCTGAGTTGCTCAATAAGGCCTTCAAGGAGCAGGGTGTTCCGATTTATGTTGCTGCTCTGTGTAACGATACTGTCGGAACCCTCATGACTTGCTCTTATGAGTTCGAAGGTTGTGGTACTTGCAGAGTTGGTATGATCATTGGTACCGGTACCAATGCTGCTTACTCTGACCCTACTCTTGGCAATCTGGTCATTAACTGTGAGTGGGGTGGATACAACTTCAAGGAGGTTCCTTCAGTTCTCAACTGCTATGATGAAGATGTAGACAGGGCTTCCCCCAACAAGGGTAGGCAGTATTTCGAGAAGACGATCTCCGGTATGTACTTGGGCGAGTTGACCCGTTTGGCCACCCGTGATGTCCTTAAGGGCTATTCAGCTCATTTGCCTGACTTCCTCAACGAGTCGGGCCTCGATACGAAGTACGTGTGCGCCGCTTTGGAAGGCGATAACCTCGGCTGCGATGATGAGGTTATCATGACTGTTTTCCGTGGTATTGGTGAAGCTGTTCTTGAGCGTAGTGCTCGTCTTTG